AGATAGATAGATAGACAGACAGACAGATAGACAAACAGACAGACAGACAGATAGGCAGACAGATAGGCAGACACAGACAGAGGGACAGACAGATAGACAGACAGACAGACAGACAGACAGACAGACAGACAGACAGACAGACAGACACCTATATGTACTGTAACAAGTAGTCGAATTCTGAGTTGATCCGTACTAGAGACATTGTATTGTAGAAGTTTTTTCATTGGTGGACTTGGCATGTGTGGTCAAGGTCAATCAAAGCCTCTATATTCTTCCTGGATCAGGATGGCTCCAGATCCCCAAATAATGGTTTTATTCTTTGACAGCTCACCGTCGGGTCGACCGGGGGTCGAATTCTGAACCCTCGAATATTAAGCAAGCTGTATCAGCAACCGTGTGAGTAGTTTCTTTTGTGAAAATATACTGCTATATCTCGAATATCGTGCCAACTGAAACATGAGGCAGCCTGTGTGTAGCATATTCAGTTGAAGAACATAAGAAACGCGAGACTTACTTGAGTCTGCTGTGAAAACCGAACTGACATCCCATTAAGTGCATCTGTCTGGGGATTTTTTATTTATTTATTTGTTTATTTATTTATTGTGTTGAGGTCAGTCCGGAGATTGCTTACTGTCAAACTACAGCGGTCTATAGAGATAACTCAATCAGCCTGACGCGTTCCCGGGTGTGCAGTTTTCAAGTTTCGAACCGCTCATTTCGTTGATCTCACACTCAACAGACCACACGCATCCGAGCACTGACCTAGGCGCACAGAGCAGTCGAGAGTGGTGCTGACATTTACAGGCCACAGGCTGGCTGACAACCGGTGCTATTTGTAGTTAGACTGTTAGGCACAATCCATGGTAGCCGCGCTGGTTCCGGCTGACTTTATTTGCAAACACAGCCAACATTGGACACGCACTGAGGAGGCAACCGCGACAGAGTCACCTTCATCTGGTGCCTTGCACAGGCATGTCAAGACGTCCTCGTTCGTTTTTGCATAGTCCATTCAAGTAGAAGCACAAACAGAACGAAACATGCGCAACGAATGGAATACTGGCTAAAGTTGTGCAACAACGTATAATACACACACAAAGTTAGATTGAAGTTTTGGCGAGAATATGAGTCTATACAACAGCGATAGCCTGTTAAGTGAACAGGTAGCTCCCAGATAGCTTGCCGCTAAATTTGGAGTCCTACATGGGAAACATATTCAGGGTATCCGCAAAACGCGAAGGACCGGGCGATAACGCGACAGGTAAGGGTACTATTCACGTGCATGGCTAAGGTCAGTCCCACCTTCCGGAATAAGGTAAGTCACGGTCAACTGTATGATGTAGATAGACAGAACGGCAAAAACGTGGGAACCAGACAAGACGACAGATCACCTGCAGACATACCTCGTCCACTAATTCGCAACACAGGTGATGAATTTGCCTAATGAGGCAGAAGATAATTGCCAAAAGCATTCTGGGTGTGGACAATCAGGGTGATGGTCTGTGCTCGGAGCCGTTCAGTTTGTTTTTGATATTTTGGGCGTGTTATTTTGGGCACGAAACCAGGACGGATGATGGAGATAAAAAAAACCCACAAGTATTATCATGAGCCCTATTCCGCGTGCACATGTCCTAGCTTCCGTATCCACTAAACCATCGTCTACGCTTAAGATGACAGCGAAATTAAGAGGAGCTCTTGTGGTAGATTTTCCTGGCCACATCCTATATGTATCATTATTGGTAGTGTACGGTCGTGCGCTAAGGACATGATCTCAAAGCAAGGAATTGGTTAATTAGCCTAAACGCAAGATCTGGGAGTCCTATCTGACAGGTAACGTGTGGTCTAATTCACCAACGGACGGTCAGTAATAACCGAATTCTACGAACCTCACCTGCGTTTGTTCACTGGTCGCAATCGGGCAGTGAACAATATATTGAATTGGACTTGGGCAGACAGTATCGGTAGGTAGACCGTGGTTCTGTAGGAAATTAACTGTAAATCGTGAGGAGAATTAAAGAAAGGCTTACGGCTAGAATAAACCTTGGGCAGTTAGAAACACACGAAGTACTGTCGGACAAAGCAAACGGAAAAAATGTTGTCCAGTTCAAAGTGGGACAAACTCTCAACAACAAGCCCAGAAATAAATGTAAACAAATGTTCTATAGAAAAAAACGGTCGAGGTAGAGTCAACTTTGTATAAAATAGAACGGTTCAGTCTTGAAACTTGAGCAGTCACCAGAAAGGTGATGAATTGGCCTGAGGAATAAGGAAACAAATAAATACGTCACGTAATTAACAGGCAGCACAGCAGTACATACTACTGGGAAACGGTGTGAGTAGTACCTAGAGAGGTGTTTTCAGCTGTGTTTCTACATCTGATAAAACTTTGGGACGAAAATTATCGATACGGTTTACAGTAGAATTGCCTTTCAGCACCAATCGAATTGATTTTGACGAGAAAGTGCGTCCTGTAGGGTACCAACGGTCGCTGTGCGACATCTCTGCGCTGTGTTACAAGACTTGTGGTGTATTATGAAATCCTGCTGGCAGTCGTTCTTTTTCATGAAATCTATTGGTAAAATTCAACTCCAAGTCAGCAAAATATAAACTTGAATCACAGTGGAGTAAAATCCTGACGGTTTACGAAGTGCGGTGCAGTTTATTTTGTGTTCACTTAGGAGCAAATGAACACTTGGCGCTGCGGTTGAAAAATCCACTCCGTATGGCGGTGTAAACATACAACTACCCGTCCATCATAATTTTTTGACTTGAGGAAAGACGGGGAGAAATCTCCACCGGGAGTTTGTATCTCCTGACGGAGAGGCGGGTTTACAGGATCGATAAATGGTCTGACGTTTTTTTAATTTCCTAGGACACGTATTTTGCATCATGTATGAAACACTAGGAATGTATTCATGTTTGGTGATGTATAAAATATAAACACGTTATTAGGGCTTTGCACCTGTCCACCACAGATTATTGTCGTTCGTAGCCGTTGCTTGGATAAAGACAACGCTGACGATGAAGGACCAACTTCGATTCGAGAAATGTTTCTTTTGAAATTAGGCTGGTGTAATCTTCTAGGTTAGTTCATCAAGTCATACAATGTACGTTTTTTATTGAGCCCCGTACACAACCTTTTTGAAGCCCTTCATCAGGAAGTCAAACCGTAGCGCGGGGGGTGGGCTTGTGGAGGCACTTGTAACAGCTTCATTAGGGTGGGCCAACCTAAATACTTGAACGCCATAGGCTCCATTCCTTTTGACTTCAGAGACTGCAGACAGAGAAGACGGAATCCTATCAGTGAAAGGAAGAACGCCTTCGCTGCGGAGTTAGTAATTGGAAAACACAAACTGAACAGTTACAGACTACTGAACAGGAAAGCAAAACTCTCGTATGCGTCTTGTTTACAAAAACTGAATATCCATCTTCTCTTGAACGCGTCTTCCTGACCTTTCCTGAATATTCGTTTACTATTGCTCAAATGCAAGCAAATGCGACCCCACGAATTCCGTAATAGAGAGACGTGAAACGGATTCGCGAGAAAACATACTACTCGTATGCCGCCATCAGTAGTATCCACCGTTACATCAGTATAAACTCTCTAGCCATTTATGGCTCCATCCAGGGGCTGGTGGTCATGAAAAGATTAATTTTGATCTCACAATCGACGTTACTTCAGTAAATTGTGGCAACCCTGTGAAGGCATAACATACAACACGTGGTACAAACCAAATTAGGCTGATAAAATGTGAAATCGTTCTACTGAACGGCAGTTTTACAACTCAGATTACCTAGAAGCTTCCAGCGTGCTTGAGATCTTACAGTAAAAGTGAAGATGCCTGGAATGGATTCGAATCATATCACTCCCGGTCAGTCTCCACCCCTGAGCCATACTCTCATATAGTTTTTTCCACAATTTTTAACCAAAACAGTGTTGCTGTACCCAGAGCAAACCTCGGCGAATTCGAGAGGCAAATTACAGTCTGGTAATCTGAGTCTGAGACACAGACGGGGAATGCAATGCAATTTTTGCAACAGGTTGCACGCAACTAGGAGAATACATTGTTGAGAGACGCGAAAAATTCAAAGTTCCAATGAATAAAATTCAAGCCAGCAGGCAGGACGAATATCAGTGGGGAAAAAACTGTTTCACAAGAACATATTCTCTAATGTTAACTTGTATTCATGCCTTATGCTGTCGTGATGTTTCAGCGAGGCTTGAAAAACGTCGTGTTGTATGAGGAAACGAAGGGTGTAGGGCTTTCTAATTCAACCACCAACCGCATGGAAGTCTGTAGCTACCCCGTCACCAACACACTTGACTGTTCAGCTCACAATCGCTCACTGGATCACGAGACGTGTCTTTTTTCATACTCACAAACCACGTCACGTTAAGCTGACTCATCGGACATCGATTGTCTGCACCGTCTAGTGAGCGTAGCAACTACTCATGTGCTGACGCGCCCACGTACACGCAAACGGACCTACATATGGGGGAAACCGAACTCAATCAACACACACAGACTCGCACGCGCGCAGGGAGCAGGAAGTCAACCACTCTCTACAAGTCCACGCACAATTATGGAACACGTGTAGCAGTCGCACTGCGGAGAAAACACGTTCCCGCCGTCCGGACTTTCGTCAAAGAACTCGCACCGACGATAATTTCCCTGTTAGCTTGCTCCAGATTTTATATTGCCTTTATTTTATACATGCTACAAATCGCTTCTGTAAACTACTGTCAACCATATTAAAGGCTGATATTAGTGCATGTACCTTCTGATTTGTTTTATGGTCATCATCAACAGTGTACTAATAATTCTACTTTACTGCAGCCTTCTTGTTGATATCTTTTGATAGTCCATATCGGACTCTAAGTACCTTTCTTGATGTGAATTTCATTGCTAAAATGGACCAGGAGCGTTGATTTGTGTTGTATTTCGAGGGGGGGAGTCACCCTTCAAATGCGGTTATACCTCATTAGGCATTCGATTGAGGTTACATTGAAGTATGATCACCTTCTTTCTATTACCCGCTTTCCTCCACTGCCGTTGGTGTTTCGGGGGGCCAACACACGAGTTCAAGAAATGTTCACTGTGAGGAGGAAGTAGCACACCGTCCGCGTTTTTTGTATGCAGATAACTTGCCTAGAAGGTTAGCTAACTTCGGCTGGCCTGGCCCATTGCACCTGTCCAGACCACATAGGCGACTTTCGGACCAATGGTGACGGACGCCATGGATGTATCAGACTGACCACGTGACGTGATGTGCTTCTAACACCCGCTGAGTGGTAAGCCCAGTGAACTGTACTCTGAGCCACTGAGTTGGGAACGGAAAGAGAAAATCACGTGACTGTCTCAGAATGTTGACCTCAAACGGGTCCTGTCAACCACAATATCACCATCAAGCAGCACACACCGTTCTCTTTCGGGTGGAAATATCTGAAACAGTAAGTTTGTTGCCATGGCGACTAAGGTGGGCTGAATCCCAAAGGACTGGTGCTGACCGGCTACTGACTGATGACACGGGAGTCAGCTGAATCAGCTGAGAATCCACCGGTCTGGTAGGTTCACATCTGCAGCCTTGAATGAAGCAAGATGGCTTCATAATTCAGTTACTGGCCTAACATGCATAGTAATCGATTGTCTACAGTGGATAACAAATCCAAGTTTACTGTCATTTGCACACCTACTCGGTTTTGATTCAACTGAAACCCCGCTGAATCTCTCTTATATGATGTCCTTAAGTTGAACGTGTTGCACCAGGCCGCTCATGCTTCAGTGGGCACGATATTTGAGTTATCGCGATGCACCGCATAGACATTGTACACTACTCATAAGGTTAATTTATTGCTTCAAGAATTGAAGTGTTGAACTGCACCTTTACCAATGAAATTTCCAAGCCCTTCGTAAACGTCGGTAAGCATATATTCTTGAGTTTGTTGATTTTACCAGTAGCCGGACAACTGTGCTAATGGTGAAACGACCATCGATGTCTTCGGAGCATTGCCCGAATCTGGTGGGAACACCGGATCAGCAATGCCGAAGTACGTCGAACGGTAATCGGGAGAAATAACTCACCCTCAATAGATGAACTGATCACACTGCATAGGTTGCGCTGGCTTGGCCACGTGCTGCATATGCCACTCGACCGACCTCCTAGAGGGGCTCTTTTCGCACAA